TTATTATTATTATTATTATTATTATTATTATTATTATATCCCATCCTCCCCACCCCTCAAAAAAATTGGGACTCAGAGGGGCTTACAGTTTTAGAAGAATAGTTTGTTGTGTGCCTTCGAGTCATTTCCAACTTACGGAGACGCTAAGGCGAGCTTATCATGGGGTTTTCCTGGCAAGTTTTGTTCAGAAGGGGTTTTTGCCAGTGCCTGAGGCTGAGAGAGTGTGACTTGCCCAATGTCACCCAGTGGGTTTCATGGCTGAGCTGGGAATCGAACCCTGGTCCCCAGAGTCGCAGTCCAACACTCAAACCAGTACGCCACACTGGTTCGCAACTCCTACCATATCACACCATACAGAATCCATAGCAATGTTTCATGTTCAACCAGGGCAGTGGGGTTTTTATTTTATTTTATTTTATTATTTTACCAGTTTACAAGCTTACTGAAATCATAACAGGATTCTTCTACAAAATATAAAATTTCTAACTCATTAAGTCATTTCAACATTATTATATATGAAATAACAAAAATAATTTTCCTAGTCACACTTCCCATGTTTGCCTGACATTAAGTCCCTTCTACTTTTTCAAGATATTTATCTTTTTTTTTTGTCTTCCCCTCTTAATTGCCCTCTCCAATCCCTCAACTCTAATTCAAATATCAGATCTCTTCCTCTTATTTCTACCCTTTATCCCATCTTTTCCCTAGATTACTTGCTTTATTAAGCTGGCATTCAAACCCTTGTCTCCAGAGTCATAGTTCACTGCTTAAACCACTTTGTTGTTGTGTGCCTTCAAGTTGTTTCTGATTTATGGCGACCCAAAGGTGAACCTATCATTGGGTTTTCTTGGCAGGATTTATTCAGAGGAGGTTTGCCATGGCCTTCCTCTGAGGCTGAGAGAGTGTGACTTCCTCAAGGTCACCCAGTGGGTTTACATGGCCAAGGTGGGATTCAAACCCTGGTCTCCAGAATCGTAGTCCAACGCTCAAACCATTACACCATGCTAAAAAAATGGTTACACATTTTATATCTCACCCACCCAGGTTAACTATGAGGCTAATGATATAGTACAAGTTTGTGTTGTTATAACAATACATTGCTGCCAATATGCTTTGTATTTTACAATATACGTATTAAGTATGTATATATGTGAGAGCCAGTGTGTTGTAGTGGTTTCAGCTGGACTATTTTTTGTGTGGATTACAACACTGGAGATTAGGGTTTGATTCCCTGCTTGGCCATGGAAACCCACTGAGTGACCTTGGGTGAGTCACACTCTCTCAGCCCCAGAAAACCCTATGATAGGTTTGCTTTAGGGTCTCTATAAGCTGGAAGAAACTTGAAGGCAGACAACAACAATGCATATATATGTTCAGAGGGCCCTCCACATTTGCTGGGGTTAGGGGTGCAGGGACCCCCTGAAAGTAGAAAAACTAAGTTATTTAAAAAAACCCTACTTTAAAAAAAAACCTGGGAGAACATCTTTCTAGGAATCTCTAGATCCTTCAGTGTGACTCTGTGGTCAACATCCAGCAGAAGCTGACCATAGAATTGCACTAGAGGACATACAAATTCCTAGAGATGCTTTCTCTAGACCAGGGGTAGGCAACCTTTCCCCTTTAAAGGCCGAGGGACTTCAGCTCCCAGAAGCCTCAGCCATGTTGGCCAATAGTCCCATGTTGGCCAATAGCTCCTGGGATTCTGGGAGCTGAAGTCCCTCGGCCCTTAAAGGGGACAGGTTGCCTACCCCTGCTCTAGGGATATCCAGGTCCTCCAATGTGACTGTATGGTCAACTTCCATCAGAGTCATCCTGGAGGGTTTAGAGATTCCTAGAGATAATATATTAATCAAATCTGCAAAAGTCAAAGCCACAAATGTGAAGGGCTGACTGTATATGTATAAAACCAACACCATCCAGGGCCACTGGCATGTCACATATTTCTAAAACTCATTCCATCAAACTGGTTGACAGTAGATGTAGGAAAAGATTAAAAATAAAGGGTTTAAAGAAAAATAAAAGGCAGCACATAATTCACTTACGCAGAGATGGACAGGAGCAGGGCATGGAAATGCTACTTGTTGGTTTGATGTTGCTGTTTTTCACCAGGGAGGATGACTACAAACCCAGGATACTTAGTCACCATACCTATTCTGGGATTTGTAGTGCAACCCCCCCCCCCAAAAAAAACCTTTCCCAATATCTGTAGGCACAGAGATCTTGTAGCACCTTTGAGACTTAGGGCCTTTGCAGACTGCTAGAAATAGTGTAAATTGAGTCCACTTTAAGGGTTAGGGTTAGGGTTAGGGAATCATGGGAACTGTATTTTATTGTGGCATCAGAGCTCTCTGACAGAGAATGTCTCAGAAAAAAACCAATTCCCATAATCCCCTAGCACTAACCCTAACCCTAAAAGTGGACTC